GATATTTAATACCAGGGTTGTAGAAACAAGAATAGTCATTTATAGTTCGTCTGAACAGTACAAACATAGTATCTGCATGTTTCATTGCAGTTGTTAAAGCAATATCTGTTCTTGCACCTGCGGCTCCTGGATTTTGGTTTCCAACTTCACCTGCAAAGTCTTTGACAGATATTTGGTGTATAGGGAACATAAGTGGAACTGCAATATATTTGGCAGCTAAAGCATTTGAAATATCTGGGTCCAACATATAAACGGCAAGTCTGCTTTCTATTCTTCATTCAAACTGTTCGCATGTGAACTTAACTGGGTCCCAAGCATCTCCAGCAGCATTGAAATAATAGTTTACTTCAGTGTTGAGGTTTGAGAAACCAAAGTCTAAGTCAACTTTGTCTTTGCAAAAGTCACAGAACTTGGCTCCACCAGTTCCAGCTACAGTATATGCTGAATGGGTCTTGTGTTGGTGCAATGACTAAGTTATTTTTGCTTGGAAGTAAGTTCGATAGAAATTTTTTCCTGCCCAGTTTGGCAAGTATCTTAAAAACCTGAAGATGAGGAAAGATGACAAAGGAACTCTAAGTTTCAGTTTTACTTTGGTTACTGCTGCTGTGTTTGTCCAGAAAGGTTAACATAAACTCCTGGAACGTTAGGGTCAAGTCTTCTTATTTTCTCAATAGTTGCATACTGGTCTGTTTGTTCTCTAGCTTGTGGTTGTACTGAGTTTCTCAAAGCGAACCATTCATAGTTTGCCCATGTTACTGTTTGAACTAAGTCAGAGTTAGAATATATCTTATATCCCATGAAAACTTCTGGAGCATATTGGTATCCGACATAGAAAATTCCATTGCAACCTTTCTTGTCAGACAACTTGGCAGAAGGTTTTATTTCAATGTCTTGTTCCACGTATAAGAATGAGTTGTCAATAGAAATAATATGAAACCTGTCGCAAGCAATATCTACTGTTGTTGAAGAACCTTCTCCAAACTCACCTACGTTTCCATAAGAAACAGCAGTTGTATATTCGTAAGTTCCAGGAACTATTTCTGACCTTCTAATGGCATTGTCGCATTCGTTATACCATTCGGAAACATTTCCGTTCATGGCATCCAAAACTGTTGGCGTTTATTCTGAGCGGCGTACATTTCATATGGGTAAAAATATAGAATAGTTGGATTTATGTGTCATAATAGAACCCACTCGTACCAAGCTTTACTTTCTTCCTGACTGAGTTTTTTAACTCTTCTTTTTCCTTCATTGCCACTACTTTCACTAGATGAAGTAACTTCTTCACTACTACTTTGTTCTACTCTTCTCTTCTTCTTTGGTGTCGCTTTTGGTAACTTGCCCTCTGCTTCAAGTTGTTGCATCTTTGCCTCATGTTCACCTAGTATGTTGTAAATTTCCCATGTCCTTTTTCCCATGGGCTCTGGTCGCCCATCTCAGGTAACCTATATCCTAGAAAGATTTTGTCATAGTTTGTATTTGAGTCTTCGCGTATTGTTTGCATGACTCTTTCCTGAGTTTCCGGTTCAAGCTCTTCAAACAGAGCTTGTCCATATGGAATAAGCTCGTTTCCAAATATATGTTTTTGTAGCCATTCTGGTTTTCTTTCCATGTAACCAATAATATCTTTTGTGAATGGGAAAGCTTTTACCCAACGTTTCAGTCTTGCGTCATTTATTTCTGTAGTTGGTTTTATTTTGTCAAGGAACATGTTTTTCAATACTAACATTTCATTTGGTACTGTCCATTTGAGTTTTCTTAAATATTCATCCCTTCTCAGTTCATTGTCTGCAAAGTAAGTTTTTATGACATTTTGCAAACTTTCGTTTGCAAGGTCATGTACAATAGGTTCTCTTCCTTCTCTTCTCCCTAACTCTCTTTCTAAACTCTTCACCAAATATACCATCTCTATGGTTCTGTGTAGTTCTTTGAGATAAATGTTCTAGAACGTCAGGTGTTATATTTCCCTCAGCCATGTTCATTTCATACTGGTCCAAAATATCTGCATCTTTCATATCTTTCAATGGCATTAAAGCCGCGCTGAAAATACCCGTTATATCTGGTTCACCATTCACTTCCATTGCGTCTACAACTTCTTGGAATTGAGGTTGTAAGTTTATGAACCACCTATCCAGATTAGCTTTATGACCCCATCTCATTGTAGTTCCATAGTCTGCAGAAACAAAAGTAGGTTTGTTTCCATATTGGTTAGGTTCTGAATGAACTTTAAACAATGTTTCATTTCTATATGTTTTGTTGAAATTTAACCTTTTATTTTCACCGAGTTCAGCCAAAGATTGAACGTTATATGGTCGTAAGTAAAAAGGATTATTGTATTTGCGTACATTTTCTTTCAGTACTTCCATTCTATGCTGAATATTTTCATCTGATGTTGGAGTCTTTTGTATGTCGGTGAACATTTTTCGATATTCTTCTACTATGTCAGCCGAATTTTTCTTAGACTCTTGGAAAGATTCCATATTCTCCGCATACACTTGTTGAGGGTCAAGATTTTTCGGCTGTTCCAAATCTTCATCTAGTTCTGTGAAGTTAGTTTCCAAAGGAGGGATTTGTTCGTTTCCTTCAGGCTCTTCTAGCTGTTGTTGCTGAACTATTTCTTCCATGTCTGGTTGTATCTGAACTTCTTCCTGTGGAGTTTCTTGTACCTCATCTGCTGGCATTTCATATATTCCGAGACCGTTTTTAAAAAGTTCCCTATCTAAGTCATCCGGACTCATAAACCTTTCTTCTTTCGTTCCGTCTCTATTTTTTACGCGTTTCATGAAGAGAGTTGAATTATCATTTAGCTCTGACACCAAATATCTCGGAGTAAATTCATTCATGTCATTTGGATGATATGCTATTAAATCATATCCCTTAGCGAGCTTGTATTTTCCAGGTTTGAGATTATATCCCATTTGATGCTGAACCATAAAGCTAAATAGGTTCGGGTCAGTATTTCCTTCCTTGAACTTTCTAATAGCTTCTTTATATCTGTCACTAAAGTCAAGAGTATCTGGGTAACCATAATCTTCCTTAAGCATTTTTAAGAATTCTTGGTTTCCTTTTTCTCTACTTCTTTTATGTCCTTGCTCTGTTTGTGGTTGTTGTGCTGGTTGTGGAGGTGGTTGTTTTGCAGGGTTTTGAACTGTTGGTTGCTGTGTTGGTTGTTGTTGTGGTGCTGGATTTTGAACTGTTGGTTGTTGTGCTGGATTTTGAACTGTTGGTTGCTGTGCTGGATTTTGAACTGTTGGTTTTGGTTGTTGTTGTGGTGCTGGATTTTGAACTGTTGGTTGTTGTTGTGGTGCATGCCTGTGTCTGTGTCCATGTGACGATGTAAATGTTTTAGGTAGTCCTGGTGCAGGTGCTTCTCTTGGAGGGTTTGGTGGTATATAAGTTCCACCAGCTGGCACATATGTTCCATCTGCAGCATAATGTCCTACCTGACTTTTCGTTCTTAAGAAAGCATTTACTAGGTCTGTTTTGGTCTGTTGTAACTCTTTTTCTTGACTTTCCACAACAGTTGCTCTAACGGCGTCATAGGCACTTTGAACTGCCTGTCTCGTTGCTGCATCTGTTATTTTCGTCATATGTGCTACTTCTTTTAACTCTTTGTCGAAACCTTCAGACTTCAGTTTCTTTCCAGATGAGAAGTCGTTCACTTGTTTCACCTTACTATGAAGAGCTTCGAAGGCGTTCTTAAAGTCAGCATTCATTAAAGCTTCATTTGAACTGTCTTCATCCGCTTGTATTTTTGTCCTTATTGACCCTATAAGTTGGGCTGCTTTAGCGTTGGCTTGGCATCTAACCAGTCATTATTAGCTTTTATATATTCTGCGCTTTCATTGCCTTTTGCATGGCTGCGTCGTTATTTTTACTTTCTTGTGCTAAGTTTTCATACTGTACGGTTTGGTTTTGCAACTGTAAAAGTTTTTCTGCCTTTACATTTGCTTCAACTTCTTTTTTATACTCATCGCTATCCATATATGTCTTCATGGCTTTTTGTTTTATTTCTTCATTTTCAGTACTTTATATTGAGTAGTATGGTTTTTCAAATTTATAACATCTTGTTCCATTTTTGCTACTTCTGCTGCTTTTTCTGACACTTTTTTCGCATATTCCTCTGTACTTAGTTCTTTCAGTTGTTCTTCTTCTTCTTTTTCTCTACGTTTAACTCATTTAGTTTCTTTGTCTGTCTGTCATATTCTAGTTTCTTTTCGTTTTCACTTATTTGTTTCTGTATGTCTATGTTTGACTTTTTGACATCTGTTATTTGATTTTTGAGTGAACTCAAATTCATTTGACTTTGAGGGTTATAAGCTGTTCCGTCTGCAGCTCCACCATAGCCTGCCATTTTCGCTAAAAGTGCCGCTCTTAAACCTCCACTCTGTGCACCAATAACTCGGTTTAAAAGCATAGGGTTGCTTGACATTTGTTGCAACATAGTGGGGTCATTCATCATTTGTTGTTGCAACTGTTGTTGTGGTGTCAGTTTTACTATTGGATGTTTCAATGCTCCCTTCCTCTTACGTATATTCTTACGTAGCTTACGTGGCATTTTAAGTGAAGTTAAAAAGCGGTTTTTGACAGATGTTTATATGACACTTTTTGTTCAGCACAAAAAACTATTCGGTCAAAGTGTTGTCAGTTTTGTAAAATAACCGTCCTATCTCATTCTATAAGGGAGAAAAGGCTTCTCAAAGTATACTTCCTTGGAACGCCTGTAACTTTTCCTGTAGCGACGATAGACCCCTACTTGTCCGGACAAAGTTGTACTATTTTGAGTGCTCTACAAAAAAGTCACCGGCTGGCTCGTCCTCAGAAATTTTTTATGGGCTAGAGGGCGCAACGCGCCTGGAAGCCCCACCTGCCTTGCCTTAATTTCGTTAAATCATTTCCTTGAAATAACATTTGATTATACTCAGTTGATCATATATTAGCTCAAAATTGGATTTTATAAATTTTAACTGTACGTTAAGTTTTTCTTCAAAATCTTCAAAATGAACAGCCCAGAGAGTGTAAGTTCTTTTTCTAATATTGTCAACAATCTTGGATTGAGCAGTTATTCATCCTCTCTCATTCAAGAGATTAGTGATGCAATATCATCAGCTTATTCATCATCAGAAATAACGGGAACACCTGATTCTGTTAAATCTAAATTATTTTTATCACCATTACGAGGTGACAATTCACTCAAAGCACAAATAAAACAACGAGATAGTATAATAGATGCTATGCGCTTAAAATATAACAGAACAATCTCAAAACTCACAGAGCAATTCCAAAAATACGATGAAGCAATTAGCAAATTTAAGCAACAATACCAAGAAAAAACAAATGAACTTGAAGCTCTCAAAAAACAATCTCCCGATATTCAAAATCTACAAGAACAAATCAAACAGCTTAAACATGAAAAGAAGATCCTTCAACAAAAGATCAAGGCAAGTCGTGAATACTTAAATCTTACAGAATTATCAAAATTATCTGACGAAGAATACAATCAACTCAAAGATCAGCCAGATTCATCCCTTTCAATCCCTCAATTTGTTGCTGTCCAGTTATATAGACGAGACAGAGAATTTGCTCGTAAAATCTCTGAAAGTGATACTCAGAGAAATGAAGCAAGATCTGAAGCAATCAAGTTACAGGCAGAATTAGAAACACAACAGGAACTTGTGCGTTCTCTTACAGCAAAGCTTGCATCTAAGTCAGGATCTCAGGTTGCAGCAAAACCAATTGGTTCAGATATAAGCAGTGCAAGTACACAGAAAATAGAAAGACTTGAGAGTGAAATAACAAGACTCAAAGCAACTATTGACCAATTTAATCAAATGCAGAATGAATCGCTTAAAACAGAAAAGAAATTGATTTCAGCACAGCATGAAGCTGAAGGTCTTAGGAAGCAAATTGACGTTCTTTCTCATGCAAATGATGATCAAAAGATGATCATATCTGATTACAGATCTCAAATCGAACGCCTGACAAGATCAAATGATGAATTAATGCATAGAACATTCAGCACATCAGAACAGAGGAAGACTGATATAGGATCTGTTATACAAACAGAAGTTTTGAAACTTGCAGAGCGTAGCCGCAGCGATATAGAGTTCATTAGAGAAGTCACTGAAAAAGCAAGACAAAGAGAAACATCAACATGGGAGAAAAATTACAACAATGCAATGGATGAGATAAAGAAGCTTAGACTTGATTTAAGAAAGAGTGAAGAGCAGAGAAGCTCCGTTCAAGCTGAATATCAAACTCTACAATTAGCTCATGAAGCAGAATTAACTCGTGTTCAATCAGATTTAAGAGTCAAAACATATGAACTTGAATCGATCAAGTTGAGAAATGAAGAACTTAAAGCACAGCTTGAAGATACTACAGATGAAAGAGATGCTTTTGCTGCTAAGTTCGATATTATCAAACAAGAATTAGTTGCTAAAGAGGCTGATCAAAAAGTTACAGAAGAAAAAATTGCAAATCTTACTGAAAAAGTCAATATGTATGAGAAACTTGAAGGAGAATTGGACACTGCAATTGAAAATCTTGATATGCAGGGAGCTTCTGCAATTAATGTTCCATCAGATGCAAATAGACGCGTTAAGCAATCAATACAATTGTCTAAACGTGTCATGACCCTTCAGAAACAACAAACTGAACTCACAAATGAACTTAATGATACAAAACAGAAATTAGCACAAAAGACAGATGAATGTAATACAATGAAAGATCAATTAAATGCTGCTGGACAACCTCAACAAGTGTTCGTTCAGATGCTTGCTGAAAAACAAGAACAAATTAAGAGATTGCAGAAGAAGATTCAATACTTGTCAGAGCAAAATCAAACTTTGATGATGGAAAAACAAAACTTATCTAGAGATTATAGCATTATTGCTCATCAACAGGAAGATTTAAAGGCATCAAAGAAGATTTCAGGTTGCCCATTTGCTCAAGCACCAATAGAAGATGAGCCAACTCATGAACCAGTTGATCCTGCTCCTTTCATTATAACAAGATATGATTAATTATTTGTATTTTATTTTTTCTTTTATATTGTAAATCTATTATGTTAATTTTTATTATCTAACCAATCTCTATGAGCGCTGGATTTTAAAAGTTGATTAAATTTCTGAACGAAAACTATCAAAATTAAGTTATAAAAAATATAAATATAGGTTGCTAATTGTAGATTCATATTGTAAAAGTGTGGGTGTTGTGTTCTATATTGAATTGACTGAAAATAATTGAATATATTGGGTATTAAAAAAAATTATAATATTAAAAGAAGTTGGTAATATGATTTTACATGTATTGAGGTGGTATAAATGCTGCTTTTGGTGGTGAAGTTTGGAATTGATTTCCTTGTTGGAATTGGACATTTTGCGAATTTGGAACTCCATAAGGAACTTGGCTCTGGTTTGGATATCCATTATTAAATCCAGCACCTTGAGAACTAAAGTTAGGCTGGTAATTCTGCTGTATTGGCAAAGAATAAGGATTTACGAAACCACGCTGGGACTGTGGCTGGAAATTGTTGCCATTGTTTGCAACAGGTGATGTAAGTAACTGCGGTGGGAGCATTTGCGGAGGCGGAATGTAGGCTGGAGAAGAATTCGGAGTTTGCCCTGGAATAAATGGTGGAGGAGCGTTCGGAAGAGGTAAAGGTGGTGACGGAGGTAATTGTTGTTGCATTGGATTGGCCAACATATGAGGAGCGTAGTTGCGATAATAATTATTTGTCGCAAATTCAAGAATTTGTTTGCCTTCCTTGTTTGCAATAACGGACGGTGATTTACCTTGATTGTTAATACTCGTTGGATTAATAGGAAGCCCAAACGAGTCTAAAACTTTCAGATTTTCATTAATTTTGGCAGCATAATGGTAAAGATTATCTCCTGCGAAGTCTGGTATTGTTACATCGACTTTATACATTTGGAAGAATGCTTTGAGAAACTCTGAGTTTTGATTTTGTGCTAATAACATTGCAATTGAAACTCCTTTGTAATTCCTGGCATCTGGATTGATCTTCTTTGAGAATAACATTATATTAATTCCTTTTTCGAAGTTCTTCTGAACTGCCATGTGAAATGCTGTATCTCCGCTCTTATTCTGTAAATTCCAGTCTAAATCGTTTCTCCTTGTAATTTCGTTAAGCATTTGTTCGCTCTTCTTCTCAACTATATAATGCAGAGCGGTATTGAGCAAGTAATCCTGCAAATTAACGTTAATATGTGGATGTGATAAAAGAATTGAGAAAATTTCTACGTTATTCTTATTTGCGGCAATCATCAATGGTGTTTGACCACTAGAATCTCTAGCGTTCACGTTTATAGGGTATTGGAGGATTTTTAGAAGATAATCTCTTTTTCCAAGGTCAACAATGTGATGTAATGCAGTTCTCATCTTCTCATCTGTCTGGTTAATATTTCCTTTCTGTAACATGAGGATCATTGAGAAGATTTCTATTGAATCTTGGTGGATTGCCATCATCAACGAAGTTTGACCATGACAGTCAGGAAAATCGGGTTGAATTGTTGGATTAGCAATCATGACCTGTACAAATTCGATCCTTTTGTCTCTAATGGCCAAAGAAAGAGGTCTCTGACCTAAATGATCTCCAACGTTAAGATCTATGTCTTGTCGCTGGACTAAAGATCTGAATGGTCCAGCAAAGTTCTCGGAAATGCATAAGTGGATTGGATATCCATGTTTGTTTGAGTATCTATTTACTTCTATACCAGGAATTGTTAGAAGTGTATTAATAGCAGCTTCATTGTGATGAATAATGGCTAAATGCAATGGAGTAGAGCCATTTGTGTTAGCTTGATTGACGTTAACGCCTAAATTTAGTAAATACTGGAAAATTTGAACGTTATTATAAGCTGCAGCAATATGGAAAAAGGTTTGATCGTTATTTGTCGTCTTCGTTGGAGGGGTTCCACTTGAACTCTGTAACATGCAAAAGATTTCATTTCTCTTGAATGCGATAGCTGTAAATAACGCATCCGAAATATCAGACTCCCAATTTATTACAGTATTTAAAATATTCATGTTGCCTCCTGCAGCCGCACAGGCAATAATGTTCGGTTTCGTATTAGGCTTGTACAATGCCTTGCATTGCATGAGCAAATTAAAGCAATTGAGTGCTCCATAATATGCAGCAATTTGTAATAATGATAAATTCGGCTTGTTCCAGATACTTAAAATCCTATCTGTAATTGGAAGAGGAAACATTTCTTGAAGCAAATTAGGATTATTTTGGATGTATTGGCTTGCAACATTTACCTCATCTACTTTAATATAATCAACAATCCCGAAATTTCCTGTCTGCATTTTATTTTTTTTATTAGAAAAGTATTTTCAGAGAAATAAAAATTATTTATATTTAAGAAACAACTTGAAACACAGAGTCCTTTTAAAATAAATCGAAATTTCAATTATTTTATTCTTCGGTTATTCTCTGAAAATCGTTAATTCGATTTTTCCAATAGAACATTAAACAATATACAATTTGATTTCGACTCAAATAAAATTCAAAAGTATTGAAATTCAGCACTCAAATGTTGTCAAGTTCTCAACATTAATTTAATCCATGATAACTTTAAAAGAATAATATGCGTTAAGTATTCTTCTATGAGTTTAAGCAAATTATATTCAAAATCGTTTCATTGTTTGAAATTGGCAAGGAAAAGAAATGAAAACTTAAATATTAATTTGAATAATGATGGAATATAGAAGGTATTCTTTTGGCCTCATTATATTACGACAGATCAGTTTCCAATCTCAAACTATAATTATCCATTTTTTAAAATACGACCTCGAAAACCTTTTTACTCTATATTCTATTTAGAGTAAGAGGCTACGTTTTCCAGTTCCTTCTATTATTGGTAACCAAATGAAGAGTAATCCTTTCTGTATATTCCATTTCCATGAAATTTGCTGAAATATCCAGAAGAGCAGGCAAAATATCATTACATACATTAATGCATTTGAAATATGACAACAATCAATATCATATGCAATTTTTTGAAAGAAATAAGATATTTATTTTTGAGTACATAATAGTTTGATCAAAAATAAACAAAGGATCTTGCATATATTTAAAAGATAAATGGTTAATTTCGATTGTTATAGTTTTTATTAGAAAACAGATTTTTATTATTTTAATCAATCTTGAGATTTGTGTACATCATCCTTACAAATATTGCTGATGAGGCAAAACCTACAAATCCGCATACAAAGCCAACAGCAAGGCTAAAATCTACTGAATATGAAATGAAGAACAAGATTTGGATGACTCCACTCATCATTGTCTTCTTCTTCATGTAGTATATGCAGTAGAAGAAGCAATAAACACCAGTTGCGAATGGAGCGAGGAAAGAAGGCCACTGCCATTCGTAATTTTCATTTGCAAGCCTCAAATACGTAGAAATAATAGAGCAGCAGCTGATAACAATAAACAACAATATAACAACGATAAACATGAAGCCCCAAGCGTATGTGAAATTATATTGAAGGAAAGCAGTCAATATATAAGGGAGTTCTACAAAAATAGATATAGATCCGATGAAGCCAATTACAACCATGAGGAAAAGAAGGCTCAAATAGAAAGGTTGATCTGGAATCTTTCTACGAATTAAGGAAACTTGGGTCGGAGTCTTTCCTACAATAAACCAATGCCTTCCTACAATACCACCTGCTAAGGTAAGAGGTAAAACTAAGAACAATATGTTGCAAATAATTATTATTAAAGATTTAACACGGTAAATCTGTGTTGAACCGTAAATTGCAGCAAATACAGACAATATTGTTTCATTGACAGCAAAAACTGTTGGGAAAATAAATGTTGACATCAAAAGATGGAAAATCCAGTGATTTCCTCCCCATCTTTTATACAATCCAGCACTGAAATAGCCACTAAAGAATCCAGAAATAGCAAAACTGATGAAGAGAAGATTCAATTTCATAGATTTTCCAAGAAGACGTCCAAATAAGAAGTTGAAAAGCGTAAATAAAATTCCTGTAATGAGCATATGTGATCCGAAACCTACAAACGCTGCAATTAGTGATTCTAATGGAGGTTTCCTGAAAACATCAGCGTGAATCATTTTCCAGCCTCTTTCTATGCGGAAATCCATCTCGTATTGGTTCATTACTGCATTTGATTCGTAAATAGATATATCTTTGCCTAATGCACGAAGGAGAATGCAAACGCTGATTCCAACAATTAATATAACGATAATTATGATATTGAAAAGAGATGCGTAATGAACACTATTGCCTACAGAATTCTGGACATATTTGTTGTAACGATCTCTTTTGCCGACGGATGTTTCAAACCAAGAGACCGAATAAGTAAAACTTATGTTTGTCCTGTCTCTCGTGATATTTACTGGTACAGATGGTGTAACATCAGCTTCTGTAACGCGGTTACCGTTGTATCCTATGTTGAATTGCCATTTAGTAAAGAGATGTGTTGAATTATCTTTGGAAGTTGTTCCAATTTGACCCCAAACAGGAAGTTTGTCTACAAATATTTGGAATATGTAATGATTACGAATTGCATGTTCGAATTTGGCAAAATTTTCGTCCGTTATATTCATTTTACACTGACGAGCGTCAAATTGATCATTTCGGAAGCGGATTGTTACTGCTGTTTTGACGTACTTGTTTCCTAAAAATGCATCGCCGAATGTAGTTGGGATTGGTTTGGATGATGTATTTGGTTGGCAGAAAGGAATGGAATAAAACTGATATGACTCAAAAGGATTGTTGTATGGAGTAATCTTATTGCCATAAACACGAATTTCCTCATCAGTTTTATACTGCTTGGAAGTAATGAATCCAAAGAATAAAAACATTTATGAAGAAATAAAATCAATTACCCAAAATGAATTTCATTTTTATATTTTTATATAATGATCATTTCTTAATTCAAAATGGCCTGATTTTATAAATTTTTTGATAACAAAGTTGAGATTTTATAGTTTAAACAATATATAACGGCATACAAGTTCAAGGATGCTACAAATCAATGCATTCTGTAATAGGAAATAAGAATTGAAACAGGGGATTTAAAATATCATCTAAAAAAAACATAACCAATACGTTTAGGCTAGATTATGCTAGGAATGTGTTGAAAATGCGTTTAAAAGAAAAAATTCGAAATTATATTTTTTTTTTAAAATTAATTCTATAATTTACTTTATTGATTGGATCAAATAACGGATAAACAACTTATTTTTCTTCAGCAGCTGCTTCTGAAACAGTTCTGATTTTGATTTCTTTAGCAGGCATCTTTGCTTCTTCCTTTGCCTCTTGTGTAGCCTTTTCTGCGATATTCTTTGCTTTCTTCTTGTTGGAATTCTTCTTCTTAAGGAAGTATTCACCACTTTCGATCTGTTTATCAACTTCTGTGTCTTGAGGATAATCAGGAAGTCCTCTGTTTCTCTCGTTGTGAACTTTCTTCTTTTTCTCTGTATGTTTTGTAGCTTTGACAACTTTTGGAAGATATCTATCCCAATCTTCGTTTGCCATGGCAGGATTCTTCATTAAATCACGCTTGACCATCAATCTCTTGATGTGGTAAACTGGATGGATGTTATTCATGCAGTCAACTACGACTTTTGATGCATCATTAATTCCACGAATGTTTCCAATGATAGAAACAGTATGTCCTTGAACGAGAATGTAGCATTGTGTAAGCAATTCAAGAGCCTTGAGTGTGCTGCCACCAGGACCAAGTAATCTTTGACGACGCTTATTAAATCTTTCTTGGTTGCGGATATGCTTACCAATAATGATGATATTAGACTCAGTACCTTCTTCAAATACGCGAAAGGCTTGTTCAATTGGAACAGAACGGGCAACTAATTTTATTGCATCTCTTGCGTTGAGAATTGCAACAGGATCCCATGTTTTATCTGTTGTCTTAAGAGAGATATTGCCATTTTTATAATCTACTTCAATATTTATGCCGTAAGAATCCATTTTATCTTGAATCTTTTTCCAGTTATCTGTAAGATATTTCTCACGATAGTGGGGGAACAAAACTTTAAATGAAGACTCTTCCAAAAGCTTATATTTCATATCGCCTTTTTGGAATGGGCGGGACCAATCAATCTCCTCAGTCATTTTCGAGATTTTTGATTTTTTTTGTGCCTTTATCTCAAAATCAAGCTCGCAATTATTATTATGTACTTAAAATGATAAAAATAAATTATATTCTTCATAATAATTAGATTTCAGGAAGAATTATTCTTATATCATCAAGAAATAAAATTATCAAATTAAAAATTCTAAGATATCCCATTTCAAATCGAAACATTTTATTTTCTATCGGCAGTGTAATCTATTAATCATATTCTTCTTCGAAAAAATAAAAAATATCATGTAAACTTAACGTTTTTGACAAAAATGCAACAGAGTAAAGATTTATCTGCCCAACAAGAAATGCTTAACACTGAAACACTGAAGCTTTTCTTCGAGAAAGGTGGAATGAACGATGTTCAAGCTCGATATATTTACCAAACTTGTTTATACGCAACAGTAGATGATAATCCTGTTTTAACACCTCTTCAGCCACGTGTAAAGAACATGGATAATCCATTATGGACAAAGGCAATGTGTTTCTGCATTGCTTATCTTCGTCGTTATAAAATGAATAATACTATTCGTGCAATTAAATGCGAATGCGATAATTTACCAAAATCAACAGGATTCGGCAAAGTCTCAGAGTTAGAGATGTTTTGGAGATCATTACTTAAATCTTCAGTTCATTTGGGTGATAAAACTTTTGACGAATGTGTTATTGAATACAAAGAAGCAATGGATGAACTACAAAGACAACAAGCAAACAAGTCTCAAAAGCTTGAAGATCCACAATTAGATGATTAATTTTTAATTTTGTTTCGATAAATTGTTTTCTTATATATATGATTTACACACATCTATTTTTTTTCCAAATTCAAGTTTCATTCATTGATTTCTGATCATTTAAATTAATTTGAAATGTATGATCCACAATGTCTGATTTTACGATGTCTTTGAGATCTTCCTACAATAGGCATAATGGTTTTATTATTAAAATCAAGTGGTTGAAGTTAAAAATTAAACAAAAAAAGTTCATCTAAGATTGAAAAAATATAGTTATTCGTTATTGCTATATTGTTTTTCAATTGATTTGAGCTTGTCGTTAGGTCAAAATCATAAAAGTGCCAAAATTTCATAGTTTATTATGAATACGAACAAGAAGTTTAAAGTTGTATTGATGGGTGCAAGCTCTGCAGGAAAAACTAGTATTGTCGTTAGATTCTCTAGAGGTACTTTTGGTGGAGATCAAGAGTCAACCATCGGAGCTGCTTTTATTTCTAGAGATGTCGAAACAGAAAAAGGACCAGTAACTTTACATATTTGGGATACCGCAGGACAAGAAAGATACAGAAGCTTAGTTCCTAGATATTCACAAGGTTCTAAAGCGATTGTCATAGTTTTCGATGTCACAGATCCGGAATCATTTGAAGGTGCACAACAATGGTTCCAGGAAGCCCAAGACATGCATGCAAATAAAGTTAAATACTATCTAATTGCCAATAAAATTGATTTGCCTGCAAAGGTTGACTTAGAAAAAGTTCAAGAATATGCTAGACAAACAGGTATGTGTTACTATGCTACATCTGCAAAAACTGGTGAAAACATTACAAATCTTTTTGATACAATTGCTGGTGACGTTGCGGCAATGATACCTGCTGACCAGGATCCAGATGAAGTTCTGTTAGAAGCGAGGAAGAAGGATGAAGGTAAGAGTGGAAAATGCTGCTAATAAATATTTTGTCTATTTATGATTACGCAACTGATTTGTTGTATTCATTTTAGTATTTTAAATTCATATTTGATAAAACCAAATAATAAAATTTATGAGAAACAATATAATTAAAGATCATTTCTTAGATGTAATACTTTTCTCTGTTGGTCTGTAATATATTGACTTTACTAAGTCTCTGTTACCAAAATATGAAAATTTTGTACAGAAATTTCCGGATCTGAAAAACAACCTGAATCAAATATAATTATAAATAAAATTGTTTTGCATTGTAAATTTAGTATATGATACTCCCTACTTTTTGTCACTTATCGCAAACATTTGAGAAGTTTTAGGTTTTCATGACAATTTGATACAATGAATCAAAATTTACATCAAATGAATAACAGTTTATCCTTGTTTATCTTATTCATTAATATAAGTCCCGTGTTAAAAAAGCTGTTCGGCTGTTTCATAACTGTTCAAACATGGTGCATTATGAAGAGCAGTTTCTCCATGCCATCTTTTTCATTAAAATTGCCGCCATCTGACATAAGCAATTTGGTTACTTCTTTACAATTATTATTTACTGCATAATGAAGGGTAGTTTTTCCTGCATCATATTGATAAAATAAAAAAAATATTCGCACAGAATGTGTTGCAAAATTCACAGTCTTCTTGCATGTTTTGATTAAATTAATAAAATATTCTATGATTCTCCTTAATATCATTAACTCTATCCATTCAAAGTTATTAATTATCGGAAAATTTGTAATTCGAAACAGTGGCAAATACATACATTTGATAAGTTTCATTTACCGTACTTGAATTAATCAATAAAGATGATTTTTAATCAAAATATTAAGAATTTATTCATACACTACTATGGTTTTAAATTACATCTCTTCTGAAATGAATACGGATACATTGACTTCAACTTAGTCATGTCGTCTACATCTGTTTCCTCTTGTTCTTAATTAGAAGACAAGAGCAATTTAAGATAGGGAAGTGAAGTGTTTAAATGAGTAACATTAAATATGATGAAAAATTTATCAAAAATGAAAACGCATCAAAAATCATATGCCAGTTTTTAAAATACTTTCGGCTTCTAAAATGAGTCCACGGGGATCATTCTTTACACTTATTCATCAAAATTAAAAATAAACCTTTTGAACACCCTATCACATGACATAATGTAATGTTGAGTTTTTACATTACTGTGACCAAAAGAAAACTGAAATTAGTTCATCATGATCTTGCGAAAAATACAAAACAAGGTTATTTATCTGCAACAAATTCTATAATTTTCGGATTTATGAATTTTACAGATCTTCAATATCCTAAATCTTTGTCACTTTTCTTCAAGTATATGAATTTAAATGTAAAATTTAAGCGAAAATCTATCAATAGGATTACAAAACATGCCTGGATTCCATCATCATTACTATGCTTAATGGCATTAGTTCAGTTATTAATGGTATTTTCCACAATAATTTCTTCAGATGAGATCAAATTTAAATATAACCTCAAGAATTATGGCAGAATTTTCTTCGGAATCATAACAGTACCAAATTCTACACGCAGAAGCCTTCCATGGGATATATGGATGAAAAAAGTTAATGATGACGGCTATCACAAAGCTGTTTTTCTCTCTCCAGTTCAGAAAGATTACCCGGATTACTACCTAGAACCACCACCATACTATGATAAATTCCTCCAAATCAATCACTCGTGGCTAGAAGATAGAGATCGTGGAATAAAAAGAGTTGTCGGTGTAAAATACTTCGTAGAGAATACAAATTTTGATTGGTATTGGTCTCTTACAGATGATGTTACAGTTGACATTGAAGAAACACAAAAATATATTGCTGAACTCGAGAATACAACCAAGCCACGAAATGAAATTGTCTTAAAAGGCCATTGCATTTGTGCTCATAAGCCAACTAGAATATACTTACAAGGAGGTGTTGGATACCTCTTTGGAAGATATGCTGCTGAGTATTTTAACGAGAAAGGTGATGAATGGATTGATTCAATGACAAAATGGGATGATGGGCATCTACAGACGCTTCTACATTGGCTAAAATTAAGCATAAAAGCTATTTCATCTCACAGATTTTATGGAGTTGATGCAGAAGTATTGACAAACAAAAAGAAGTTCAAAATTTGCCCAGAAAATGTTGAAAAAACAAGATGCGGATATAATGCACTCTATCCATTCAAAGATGTCATTGCAATTCATTCAAATAGCAAAACAAATTTGACATTAGTGAATAATAAGATGAAAGAGTTGAAAGAAAATAATCAAAACATATATTATTACTTTAAAGAACCTTATAAGATTATTCCCTGCCGCAAATTTAATTGAAGAAAATTAATTGACAAAATTGTTTAATTTATATCACAAAGGCACTCAAAACTTAAGTTTTTGCCGTGTTTATTGTTTAAATAAAGACATATAGTTATAGAGAGTGAAAATTAATTCAAAATTGAGTATTTTTCCCTTTTTCTAATAATTCCAAATCATAAGTCCCTAAAAGTCAATACAATGATTCAAAGCAATGATTTTGCATTTTAAAAATATAAAATTAATTATCTTAGGTGAAAACTAATTTTAATCGACTTCACAATGAGTAAATGCTATAAGATATTTCATTTATTGCATGGAATTTGATGTCGAGGAGAATAATATATCTGTATATTTTCAATATGCCTTATACTACAATTTTGATAACTGGAAATTTGTACAAATGAATTATAGCTTGGGAATATTTGGCGATCTAGGCTTCCGCCCTCTTCGCTTTTGATGCTGATTTTTCTTCTGCTGTTGATCTATATTTTCATTACACTGATAGGATTCTGCAGCCTTTATGATATCTCCATCATAATCACTCATAAGTTGTTTCATTGGCATGTTCCTAACCGGTTCTGGGATACCCATTAAGGCAAGATCGAGCGCACAGAGCATATTATTGACTAAATTTTCAGAATGGGATATAATAAAGGAGCACCTACATTCAACTTCCTTATCAAAGTTCTCTAGGGCTGTGGCTGGATCTTGCATTGAATTTTAAACGTGCACCTTTTCAAATTTTGAAAGAAAATAATTATCCATGACAAAATCATAAAATCTATAGCAAAATCATAATTATAAGAGAAAAAGGAATCACAAAGAAGCAAATAAGCTTTATAAGAAGTAATTTTAATCACTATAACATCTTAATACAATCAATAAAATAAATAATTTTAATCACTGCAATACTAATCAAACTATTGAAAAGGATTGGAATCCAATGATCATGTGTTATATGTAAAGGAACAATTTACATTTTAATTAGAAAAAATAATCAAAAGAAATATTCTCAATGGGTAATATAATGGAATTGGAGGACTTTCCGAACAACCATAGAGAAAATCAGATGGTGGGAAGAACAGACATATAGTGCCACCATATATTTGATTCAAATTCATCTTATCAATTGATTAGAACATATGTTTTTTAATGACATAACTATTTTATACTAAGACAAAGCTATTATTGATATATCAACAGGAATTTATTGGGGATGAATTTTATTTGACATGTAAATTGAGCGGGGGAGCGAATTACCCTAAATTACATAATTTTTTTTATACATTTATTTATGGAAGATATAACGAAAAACTTGCAAGACAAAACTAATGAGGATCTAAAAGACATGATCAATCAACTCAGGAAGAAAGCTATCGAGTATAGTAATCAGAATGAAGTGATTGAGAAGGATATTGCAATATATAGAGGCAAAACAAGAGAAATCATTCAAAAGATCCCAGAAATCGCAGAAATTTGCACTAAAAGAACAGAATATCTCGAAAAAATTAGAAGAAGCGAAAGAAAATTATTGGCATTATACACAAGATTCCCTGGAATTATCAACGAAGACTCTTCACACGTCTTAACTAGCGATATCTCAAGTCTCAAACGTCACCTTGATAACGCTTGCAAGAGAAAAGAAGAGGCTGAAGTAACAATTGAGAAATATAAGAAAGAACTTGATGCTTTACAAGCAAAGAAAGTCGAACTTACTCATGAAGATAATATGCAAGATGAAATTATGGCTCAAAGAGAACAAGAAAAATCAAACCTTGCAAAATTACTTCGTCAAGAACTCGATACCGCTAAGAAGCTTTATACATCTGAAGTTCGTGTCATTGATCAGAGGTTATCATCCGGAAACGCATTACATAATGAATATACATCAAGATTTAACTTAATGAACGCACAATACCTTACTCTTATTTCCCAGATCAACAGCCTCATTCCATCACTCAAAGGGGAAGTCCTTGAGCTCTCAAAAGAGTTCATTGATATCCATTCTCGCGTTAATTCCTTATCTGATCAATTCCTTCAATGGTGGGCCACAAGAAGGCAGGTTCAATTCTACAATGACAGGAAAGTCTTCCTGGAAAGCGTACTTCAATCTACTGAAGAGAGAATGGAAGAATCTTATAAAACAATTCAGGATGTCCATGACAGGAACCAAGCCAAAGCTAACGAAATCAAAGAAGCTCAGAACATGAACCAAGTCATTTCTAATCGAATCGCCGCAGCCGAACAAAAAGAGAAAGATTTGAAAGCAGAATTAGAGCGAGTTCGAGCCAGTTTCGTTCCTCTCGACAAGAAAATCACAGATGCCCTCAAGACAGATGAGCAGAAGTACCAAGACTTGAAGAATGAACAGAGATCTCTCGAAATCGACTACCAAGTTCTCTCAGATACATCACCTGAAGCCGCCAGAGCATTCGAGAGACTCGCAAAGGTCAAATTGGACTACCACGTCGCCAACAAACGCCTCGTACAGAAGAAAAACTCCATCGAACTTCTTAAACAACAAATTGAAGAAAAGAAAAGTGACAAAAATGTTGTTGAACCCGCCAAAGGTGTCATTTCATTGGGTTCCATGGCCGATCCACGTGTCATTATTACTGAAGATGCCAAAGGAAACAAGATTGTTTCAGCTGGTCCAATTGAAATCCTTTCTCGCATCATATTCGAACCGGCTAACGACGATCCATTGTATCCATACTCATACATCTTCTGCGTACACACCATAAAGATGGAAATCCCCGTTGTCGTGAAGCATATTAAGTCTGCATACGAATCCGGAGATTATAATGAGACAAGACAAGCGAGATTACGCGCGCTCTTGGATGTATGGAACAAATGGTTCTTGTCCGACTTCCAGGAAGTCTCAGAATTGGTCTCTTTGATCGGTTGGACAGCTCAGGAATCAGATTACGATAAAAGTGCCAATGTCACTTTTGATAATAGTATTGAAGTTGACATGAGTTTAGATTTAGTTTTCCAATCGAGTCCCCTCATTGTCGCAGAGCACTTGAGCTACTACGAACTTGAAATTTTGAATGCAATGCCTGCTTCAGAATTTATCGGAACAAGTTGGACCAAACCAGACAAATGGGTTCTCGCACCGAACATCATGAAGATGACTGAGCACTTCAACACCATCACTTCTTACATCGTGACTTGCATTTTGTCAAAAGAAAGTCCACAAGAAAGAGGTGAACTGATTTCGAGATGGATTGAAATCATGGTTGCAGCATTGGATATATCGAGTTTCCAGTTGGTATTCGAGATATTCGGTGCACTCTGCAACCCTGCAATCACAAGACTCTCAAAGAGTTGGGATTTCGTTTCGCAAGAAAACAAAGACAACTTTTTGAAAGCTCAGGAGTTCACTTCACCTTCAAGACAATTTGCCATTTACATGGAGCGTCTTAAATCTACACCTGTTACTTGTGCGATTCCTTACATCGGACCAATGCTTACTAACTTGGTTTACACACACGATGGCAATCCATCGAAGAAGAAACTTCCTGGATCTGGTGAAGAAGTTTTGAATTTCTCGAAATACAGAATTTATTCGAGTATTGTAAAGGAGATTTTCAAGCCTTGGGGAAGAGATATCAACTGGATTTTGTCAAAGAATATGCTAATTAAGGTCAAACAAATGCCATTGCCAGAACTTGTTGATACTGAGGCTTTCGCAAAATCTTCTCAATTGGAACCATAAATTTATTATTTATATTTTTATTTGTCATGTGTAAAAAAATTCTCTTCATTCCTCTTTTTATTAACTTTTAATTGATGAATTATGAGGCATAGACTATAATTACACTTTTTACATGAAAAGGTACATTCACTAGGCGATAACAGTAAAATGGGATGAAAATAGGATAAATAGCATCCCTATATAGTGCCTAACAATATTTATACGGGCCAAAAAAATTTGGCTAGAGATTTGGCGAGTTATAAAACTTAGAAAATTGAGAGGGATTTTTATTTTTGAATTTTTTTGGAAAGTTAAAATTGCGATTAAAAATCGATTTCCAGGAGAACTAAGCATCTCATCATATATTTAAATCGATAAAAATATTAAATAATAGTTGAATAGTATAACAACGTGAAATTATGGCTGAATCTACAGAAAAAATGAACATATTTGACATTTTTGAAAATTCATACATTAGATGGTGACAGACTCATAAACTATACTTTAGCTAAGATTGATATATGGTTTCAACAACACATGGTTAAGATCGTAAAAATATTTTAGATTTCAAAAAGATATATGGTAATCTAATGGAACAGAGTCAGCAAATAGCATGTAAAATATGTTACAATTAACTTTTTATTATATCTAATAGTAGATATCGAATGGTTTCCAGCTTTATGGTTAAACATTTTCTTTTCGAGCTTCTCTTTAACTGTTGTATTAAGGATGTAAATTTTTTATGCTAGAAACTATGGAATCTTCTTTGCTGCTGCATTTTTCTTGAGAGTTCTTGCAATTTCGAATAGATCTGCGCATTGTATGAAATGGAGGCTTTAAAATATCTTGAAAACAGAATAGGACTGCTTTTCCAAAGGAATGCTTACTTGTAAATCAGAGAGTTTCAAAATTGACAACAAGATTATCATCATAACTTTCGATTTTGCTGCGAAAAAGGAAGACAAGTAATTAACAAATCATTTACTGTTGTTCATCAAAAGAAGAAAACTTTGATAACAACTAATGATGATAAGATCAAGCTATCTTTTAATATTTTAAATTGATAAGACATTCAAAATATTTGAATGGTTTAAAATATTTTCTTTTAATTTCTATAAGATATTATCATGATTATATAATAAAATTTAAATTTTTATTCAAAAAGGCAATATTTCAAACTTTTAATTTCAAAAATCTTAATTCTGCAATAAGTGTATTTAATTGTAGCAAATTTAATGATCCTTCATCATGCTTAGCAATTTGGAACTCATAAATTAATGATTTCTTCAAGTAAAATTCTGCATTATTTCAAAAGTCAATAATTCTCTAGTAACTTTTCTTCAAACCCTAACCATTATATTATATGTATAATGGAGAATAATTGCAAAGAAAGATAGCCGAATTTACTGGGTAGTTCTTGTGATGCGAAATAATTGCAAATTAACACATAGTTTTAACAGCATCAATCTCTTTTTGCTCTCATTTAAATGCATTCGCACACTTTAATTTTGAAATATAAGAGTTTTGGAAATTATCAAATTTATCTGCTCAAATACTATAGATCTTCATAAGTGTTAATAGAATCATTAGCCTTACATATAGTGTTTAATATAATGATGCACATTATACTGGGATTCATTCCTTATTCATCTAGTTATTATAAGATTTACAACCCCATGAAAATTTAAAATTTTGTCAAAAATAGTGAATGTACCTTTTTACATGAATTGATACAAATCATATTTAGACTAAATTATCAACTTTTATATCAAAGAAAGAATACCGATATTCAAAAATAACACTTCTTTAAGGCTTCTCTCCGGCCAAACAGCCGTATCGTCGTTTGACTTCACATTTTCTCGCGAGCGAATGATTTTTTCATCTCGAGAACAAAATTTTTTTGAAAAAATACAACTTGAGCTCATTCGAATCACCGGCCCAAGGACACAATAAATCCTTAATATCAATGCCAGATTCTAATTTTTTCTTCGCAATCAATTCTCAATTACGAAAATTTATGCGATATACCTGTAATCTTCTTACGATATTATAATATGTACTGTTAGTTTATCTCGATTAATATACTCTTAAAGACAAATTTAGCGAGAATAATCAAAAAATTTACAAAATTATTATATCCTATTAATCTGGACCTATAAACGTTTGGTTAAGTTAAGTATTAAGAAAATGTAAATATTTGGAATAGGAAATATGAGATTAATGACAATGATATTTGTTTTTTACTTAACTTTGAGATTTTTGCATATTTTTAGTGTTGACAGCCTTGGTATGCTGAATAATTCCCAAGTCAATAAGTTCTGTCCATCAAAATATAATTAATTGTTCTCATATCTTATAATTTTTTTCATACAGTGAAAATTATACTGCAGCGTGATAATATATATAATTCTAAATTGTGTGTATATAGAATATTACATGAATTGATTGAAAATATGAAGCATTAATCTGAATATTGAACTTTGGATATCATTTCAAAGAATAGTATTTATTTTAATATCGCTGTAATATATATATTCCATTATCGTTAAAGAAATCCAAAAAAGTCACTTCACATGGCTCGGAGTCCACACTCAAGTTGATCCAGCAAAAATTTCAAAATTGTTTTAAAAGAAAAATGAGACGGCCAATACTTTTAATTTATCGTAAAGGTACTATACACAGGAAATAGAAGAAAAATTATTTTAATAAAATATTATTGGAGATCAAAACGAAACTATCAAATATAAAGGATAAAAACGTGTTATAAAAAAGAGGAACTCTAAAATGACTTGCTTACCTCTCGCATATACACCAAAAATTAAATCAAATTCCAGCTGTAATACAAATAAACATCTAAATTTATCATCATTTATACTAATTTTTGAATGTTTACTATTCTGGATAAAAGTGATTGAGTGTTTTAAGAAATGAACCAAAATTAAATTTGATAACTTGAAGAAATAAAGATACTATAATATTTTGTGCGTTAACCTCTAAGTTAAGCTATTATGAACATATTTTTTTCAATCAAATTTCGAATAAGAAATACCTATTATTGAATAATAGAAATTTCGACAAACTTACAATATAAACCTATTATAAGACATAAAATTTTGTTATATTGCAGTGATAGAATTTAAAAATAAAGTCGTGGTAAGTCTGCAAAAAGATTTTAACTTCTATTTTTTCAAAAAATATTGATGTTTTAAGGGTGCACACGAGAGGATCATGTAAACTTCAGAATTTAGAACCTTATTTTTAGGCATTATCTTGGCTACCTATTTAGGCTCGAAAAGCAAAAAATATCAAAAAATACAACTTGACTCCATTATGACCCTTTCATGGAGGTAGTTTTTATCCGCTAGTATTTTCCCTTTGAATCTCTTTACAATTCGAAATCAAATTCAAATCTCAGTAGAAGAAAGGAAGAATCGACTTACTACGGTTGTAATACGAATAAATACATATATTTAATTATTTTTATTTACATAATAATTGTTTGAAGCTCATATTCCAACAAATTTTTAAATAAAAACATTAAAATGTTGAAAATGTTCATATATTTAATAGGGTTTTGGCACTTTATTGAGGAATTACTACATACATAGTCGAACCGAACTTGATATTTTGAAATTTAAATTATTTATCAAAATTAAAATTTAACTTGAAATTTATAATTATTTAGTCATATTTTGCATAATTCTAAGTAGATTTTGTAAAAAATCAAGAAAGAAAAATTTTAACGTGCTTTATTTTTTCTTTTTTATAATAATACATATTATTATATAATTAACATATTCATAATGTTTCACCCTTTCAAAAATATAATCCTCCTCCTCTCAAATAAACGTTCATACGGGTGGCCTCTTTTTTCAAAAAATTAAAATTTGAAATTTTGGGCTCAAATATTAGAGATTTTTTCAACCTTCAACGATATATGTTGTCTATATCAGACCTCCTTTCTTTTTGATACTTAACATTGTTCCTAAATCTTAGCCGTTAAGGCTGTTCTGAAAATATTTTTTTTTCGAAAAAATTCGAAAAAAATTCTTAAAATTCAAAAATCCCTTAATTCCTGAGGATTTTGGAAAAAAGTTTTTACATGAACATGTGTATATTATATGAAGTATATTGATAAGGTAAAAATCAAATTTTATTGCATATTCATCGAGAAAATAAACTAACGAATCCCTCAAAATTGAGAGGGTAATCCTCCTCCTCTCAAATAAACGTACATACGAGTGCACCCTTAAAATACGTTTAAAAATTCTATAACTTTAATTGCATTTTTTCTAAAACATGAAAAATTTGGAAAATCCCAACACCTTTAGATCGTTTTAGCTGTCTATCAACTGCTATCTGCACTTCAAAAAACATCGAAATACTCAAATTCGTATATCTGATTTCATCATTCATGCAAATTGCTTTTTGCAAACAAATGTAAATGACATATTATCAAAATTTACACCATTTGCACACTATATTATTAGCACCAGGTATGCTTATATTATAATTTATTAAACATAGGAAAATCACGAATAAAAAGTATATTCAATTTCTTTATCACTACTTGCAGAAACATATCTTGCACATAAACAGCTAAACTTACAGTATTTTGAAAAAATATATCAAAACGAGTAAACAAAACATTATACTTTCCTATTGAAAAGTATTTGATTCATGAAATAAATCGTTTCTCTCTTACGTGTTGTGTACGTTCTATGCTAAAGTTTATTCAATGGATTTAATCTGAAAGATATATAGTCGTTGAGTTGATAGAATATAGATTATGCCTAGTAGTTCATTTTTAGTAAATTTGTTTTGATCAAAATTCATTTTTAGTTTTGATTATTGTAAATCCAAAACCATGATTTTGAGATAATATTTGTTTCGAGATTGTCAGTATATGAGCATTTCATTTTTATTATTATTTTGCAAAAAAGTCACTTCACATGGGGTTGGAGTCCACGGGGAAGGTCAGCTAGCAAAATTAAAAACTCAATGTTGGACAAAAATAAAATGACAAATACTTTTGATATGCTATAAGCTTCTTATATTTGTTAAAAAATGAAGCTCTTTTTTTCATGGTTGGAATTGCAATTCCGACCGAGAAATGTCAAAATCATGAGATGGGAATATAGCAATTGTAGAGCCTATCGACCGTTGAATTAAAATATCGAAAGTTGCTAAAAATCGATTTTTCCGGAAAATGCAAGATAATTTCAACTTCCCTAAAAAAAGACTTTGATTCAAAACAAAACGGATATATAATAAATGTATGTATCATATATGATGTTTATTACATTTTCAAGTGTAAAAACCAGCTTTTTAGGTACCTCAGAGGTCACGAAGATGCCAAAAATTGAGAGGATCACTTCACTTGGAGAGAAGCCTTAAGATTTTTTTCTTTCAATTTTGAATCACAAACAATTTAAAAAATTATTTGCAATTTGGCCGTAGGCAAGCTCCGTCCAAATTGCAAATAATTTCTTTAATCGTTTGCAGATTCTAATTTTCATGAACGTTAAAAGTTCTGAAAAGACTTCCCAAAAAGATTCCTAATTTCAGTAATTGAAATCTCAACTTTCTACTAAAGGTAATAAAATTGCTACACTGAAATCACAACTTGAACACTCAGAAAAAAAGATCGATTCATTGAAAAGACAAGTGAACAATGATGGAGAAACAATGAACATGTTCACTATCCAGCATGATTCGTTTTTAAAGGGCAATTAATGGAACAAACATTACACCATTTGTAAGGTCCTCTATTTCCACTATCTAATGCGTTTCAGCTCATTTTTGGAATCTCATATTCATGCAAACAAGTTTTTTTCTTTGCTAATATCTTTGTTTGTTTATTGAAATTAGTATGACTAAATTTCCAAATTCATCTGGACGTGTTTTATGTAGAAAAATATTTTTACTTTTTCAGTTTTAAAACAAAAAAGTGACAAATTAAAATGGCGACAGTGGAAGATCTATTGAAGCAACAAGAACTGATCAAACAGATGGAAGAAAGATATATAGTCAATATAGGAAAAATGCAAAGGGAACTAGAAGATCTTGAAAAAGAAATTGCGGATGAAGTAAATTCACCTCAAACTCAACAAGCTCAACCGGAAATGACCAACAATCAACAGTCAAAGACAAAAACATAATTGCAGAATTTTATCTTCCTGTTTATTTCGTTATTTACACTAAAAATTGTTTTTTAATAGTTTTAGGCAATCCATAGACTTTATTTCGATAAAATCTCCGAATAAATTTATTACCCATATTTATTTTCACCTAGTGTTCGCAAATCTTAATCTTTGTTATGAGAATTTTATTAAAAGTAGTATTTAAGAAATAATTAAATGTTTTTATGATAAAATCTGTTTAGTAATTAATGCGCTATTACATTCCGCCTCTGGTTCTAACAGTTATTTCAATCTTTGATCCGTTCTGAATGCCATATTTTCCAACTGTATAACCAGCTTGCAATTGTTGTGTTCCACAACGAATTTTTATCTCTGATGGCTGAACGCAAAATAAATTTGCTATCTTTTTCATGAATTCGTCGGAGCTTTCACTTGGTCTAGTTTTCACTTGTATATCCTTTCCCTCTTTATTGATATGAACCATAATCTCAGTATCTTTTTCTAGTGACATCGTGAAAAATGAATTTTGGAGGTTTTTTTATTTAGATACGACTTTTATTCAATTTTACGGTGATCACCCCTTTAGTTTACAACTATTCAATTTTCGACGCTTTGAGGTCTATTTTCTCTTGATTGAATAGATATAGTTATGCATAAGCATGGCCATAGCATGCCCATACAATTGTCTACCTATTTGTCGTTTTAGATATCAAAGATAAGAGATTTGACCAAAACCTTAAAAATGGAATTTTCACTGAGGGCCTGCTGATCAAGATTTCTCAAAATTAGTCGATCAGATGTTTAAAAATATGATCAAGAGTCTTGATATTTTGCTTAAATATGATTAAGAGTCTATATCTTCATTATTAAAAAAAGTCAACAACCCAAAGCTTAGATATTTGAATACTTTTTTTGAAAATTTGTGCATAAGATGGTTTTGTATCCTTGATTATATATTTCATAATCTTCTTATCAGCAGGGACCAAAATGGTAAAAGGTCTCTGCTGGTACAGATTCAGGAAATTCAAGGATCCATTTTGCAGAGATTGGGAGCTTTGGAGCTTCTCAGGTGGAGAAAGGCAAGAGATTTAGCCAAAAATTTATTAGATTTTAGGACGAAATCAAGAGATCATGAGTGAATATTTGAAACATAAAGAACTAGGAAATGGATGCATGAGCTATGCATTTATTTCACACAACATTGATTTTATTGCATTCTTGATGAATGAGTGCAACATAGAAATCGACTTAGAATATTGTGGAATTTACAATAAACTTGAATCCTTTGTAGTTTATTTCGATCAAACTATTGATGTTAACGAATGCTTTGTTTATTCAATGATGTTTAATATTCCTTCCCTTTTGGAATATCAATGAAAAGGACAAATATGAAAGAACCGCACTTCATTTTGCAGCAAAACATAATATTAAAGAAACTGCGAAAGAAAGTGGAAAGTGCCCCCTTAATGCCTTATGCTAATCTGACTTTGATTCAAATTTTTGACATCTGGCGTGAAGTTTCATTGAAAATCAACCTTAAACATCTGAATTGAAGATCATGTCATGAAGCCGTAAGGGCACCCTTAAAAACATGCGATTTATGGAAAAGTAACACATTTTAAAAAACCAAATATATCATTTTTTTTAACATGGAGATAGTTTTAATTCATGGTATATATCAATTATATTTTTCTTTGAAGTTTATTATCCAAAATCTTCTTGAAGACTGCGTTCAAGAGTTCGACGATCTTCTAATTTTCTGTAACGAAAATGAAGTCTAAACATGAATATTGCAATGACTACAACAGTGATAACAAAAACGGAGGCACCTGCTATGACATATGGAACCCATTTATTATTTTTGACGGCTGGCGGTTCTGGCGTTTTTCTGAAACAATAGTCTTCAAAACTGATTTGATTAATTTCACTTGATTCTGCTGCACTAAAGTTTACATTTCCATTGAAATATAGATTCGATGAATCAAATTGTTGATATCCGGTAAAGTAAACTGTTTTATTTACGTGGTTTTTACATTATCAATGAAATTAACTTGATGAATAGAGAATATATTTGGACAGAGCATCAAGCAATTCCCAATAATGGAATTATTATAAATAAGAGTGTTTGAAACAGATGTCGAAAAAGTTAAATTCTTTTCATTGTTTGTCGAATTACAAAAAGCTGCATATCTTTCTGGGTGATTATTAGAAATATTCAAATGATCAAAGATTGATGATGCATGTATTTCCATTGTTTGCCCGGTATAATCTAAATGATTTAGACAATTAATTATACATGAATTATTAAATACGAAAGAAGTTTCATTATTTGATCGAATATCTGCTGAAATAAAATGATTTGAATCCAAAGCAGAACAATGCATTATGCAAAGCCTATCTAATTGAACTTTCCCTGAAAGAGTAATTAGATATATTGCTCCACCGTCTACGTTGTTATATAATGAGAATGTCGTGAGGTTGTTAAAAATAGTATGAATGATATTCAAATCGATTTGTGAAGTCAATATTTTGATTGCACCACCAACTTCATCATGATTTATATCAATGAACTTGGAATCACTAATTGTGTATTCAGAAATATTTATTTCTTTGATATTTATCCTATTTGATATATTATTTATATTAAAGCTACAAGCTGGAAATACATTGACTTCATGAAAATCAACATCAAAAGGCTTTAAATCAGGACTTATCGTAAAGAATTTCGTTGAATTTATATCAGAAGAACAAATGCAATTTGTCAATTTACAATGCTTGAAAAATGAGTCAGGATAAGCAATGTTTATATCGATAAAAAAGCAATTATTCAAATATGCTTTATATGGTGATGCTTCGACCAATATGTTATTATGGAGATGAAGATCTTGGAATAGAGTATTTTCAATGTTAAAATTCAAGTTTTGTTTTATTAGTATATCGGATTTTAGATTGTGTACAAATTTGCAATAATTGATTGTCATATTAGTATCTGCTTTAATTATAGATCGTGGAGTGTGATCTAAAGACCCACAATCAGAGATATTGTTTTGTATAAAATCTGTTTGTTTTGAACCGTATTCTGAAAGAATTTCATCAGATTTTTTCATATAAAAAATTGGTTAGAATCAAATCGGTAGTTGTTTCCTTTTTCATTATAAATCACACAAACACCACATTCTATCATTTGGATTTCATTTTCATAGAAATTAATCCTGAGATTTGGATTACAAGCAGAAAAAGTATGCAAACATCCGCATTCAGTAGTAGTAATATATTGCATAGATGATCTGCATATTGTGACGTTCTTGACTGATAAAGTATTAATTGCAATCGGGGTATCTTTGATTTGCGATATACCAAAAAAGAAAAAGAAAGCATTTGAAACCAAAACATTGCTTGTACTTGCAGCATATTTCTTCATTGGCTGATCAATCAGGCCAGATTTATTGATCGTATCGTCCATAAAATGAAAGAAAATTAGCACTTTTCTTGCACTTTTTGAATTTCAATTTTGAATTGTAATTCAAATGTTGTGCAAGAAAACTGCATTCTCTTGCCTTCAATAATACAATTTTCAATTTTTAATTGAAAATTGTATATTGAATGCAAGAGAATGTTTTTTTTATCTCCTAATCTTATTTTTTAGCTTGGACATTGTTTCAGCTTTAGAAGAATAAACTAACATAAGATTTCAAACACATCTGCATTTTATTAACTAATTAACACATAAACATAAAAAAATGAGAATATCTTTTACATTTGGAATATTTATAGTCCAAAGAGTAAGCACTGATATTTGCTAGATGTGAAGGAAGATGTATGACTATTATTTGAGCTTCTTTTTCTTTTGACATTTTTGCAAATTGAATATTAATGTCCCTCAAAATTAGCTAAAAATTTTTTGAGCTGCTAATGGTAGAAACGTGAGATTTGAATGGGGCTTCCGTTTTTTGTCTCATACTTATAATATATGTTCTATTTCTGATTATCTTTCAATATATCATAAATTTAATCTTTTTATGGAAGCAAAAATCTTATCGAAATAATTTAGACTCAATATCAGAAAAAGAATATTCTTTCGCAGCATGCCGCTCCAATATGAAGTGTGTTTTCTCCATATTTATTTTTTTTTTCGTGGATATTTGCACCATGTAAAATAAGAATTTCGGCCATTTCTTTACTATTCCATACTACTACATTATGAAGTGCGGTTTCTCCATCTTCATCTTTTTCATTGATATTCGCACCATGTGAAATAAGAAATTTAACAGTTTCTTTACTATAATTTTTAGCTGCAATATGAAGTGCGGTTTCTCCATATTTATTTTTTCATTGATATTCGCACCATGTGAAATAAGAAATTTAACAGTTTCTTTACTATAATTTTTAGCTGCAATATGAAGTGCGGTTTCTCCATATTTATTTTTTCATTGATATTTGCACCATGTGAAATAAGAACTTCTGCCATTTCATCATAATTCCATGCTACTACATTATGAAGTGCTGTGTTTCCATTTTTATCTTTTTCATTGATATTTGCACCAAGTGAAATGAAATATTCCAAAAGGGGTGGAAAGGTAAAGTTCACTGAATTAATAAAACATTTGTTAATATCATTAGTTTGATCGAAATAAACTAAAAATGATTCAAGATTATTATACCACAATAAGATAATTTGATCTCTAAATTGTACTCATTCATCAAGAATGTAACAAAATCAATGTTGTGTGAAACAATCGCATATTCCATGGATTCTTTATTTGGTTCCTGATATTTCAAACATTCACTCATGATCTCTTGATTTCCTCCTAAAAATGATAAATTTAGACATTTTTGAGTTATTTCTGAATTGAATTTCGTTCTTAAAAACTTGAAACAATCAACTGCTCCATAACAACATAATTCAAGTAATGAATATCCTTCAATAAAAAGTTGATATGGATATAATGTGCTTTCAAGTGTTTGCTCTTTATCAAATCCTTCTCTTTCAGTGAACGAGATGAATGTTTCTAGTTATTATACATAATTGCTCTGTAAATTGTATTTTCTGCATGAATATCGATATTTATAAAATGAATTTCTTTGAAATCATCAGATTTGTTTAACTTAATTCCATATTCTTTATAAAACAGGAAATTTGGAATAGTTGGAATACTGCTTGCCTCTGTGATATGATAATCATCAGATATGAGTTTGGCAAGAAATAAATACGACTTTGTATAGCGATTATTATATGGAATAATATTTAAAATGTCATTTATAACACTTGTAGGTAGATATTTCTTTGAATCAATTCTGTTTCGATCATTTTGTAAATTTTATTTAATTCTTCTTCATTTTGGGTTTTTAGCTGATAAATTGCATTGTATGAATCAATGTAGGATTTGAAAATACTTCACAATTCACTGAATTTATTTAGGTGAATGTCTTGATCAGTGAATTGCATTTTACCATATAGGATATCATTTAAATTCATTAGAAGAAAAAAATGTAATGTTATACATTTGGAAAACGGGAAGACTACAAAATTGTGCGGCCAAATTGCCATCATTTTGTAAAGTAGTTTTTTTGACATCCAGTGCAATTGCAGGGGACGTGTTTCAAAAAAATTTTAATGGTTGTGTGAGAGACCTTATTCCCTTACAGGAGCTCCTCAGCTCCCAATCCTACGAAATGGATCTCCGGAGCTCCTGAATCTGTATCAGCAGAGGCCCTTTACCATTTGGGCCTCTGCTGATCAGAAGAATAAGGCAGCCATTCTGCCTCTTCAGGAGCTCCAGAGCTCCTAATCCCTACGAAATGGAGCTCCTGAATCTGTATCAGCAGAGGCCCTTTACCATTTGGGCCTCTGCTGATCAGAAGAATAAGGCAGCCATTCTGCCTCTTCAGGAGCTCCAGAACTCCGTTTCCTCAAAATCAGGAGTGATGGAGTTCCTCACTTTCGATTTGTTAAAGCCTGTTCTTTTGGGAACAGGCTTTAATAAATTTAATGTGCACTCAATCCAGCTCTGTTAAATATTTTGAACTCTACTCTTCTAATATAGAGTTCAAAATATCTTCCAGAGCTGGATTGAGTCTATATTACATCATATTTCTCAGTAATTTTGTGAATATGTGTTGGTGAAATAACCCTCACTAATGCAGACTTTACAATGTCAAAAATACTAAATTCTAACACTTTACAAACTTTACAAAGCACAATTTTGTAATATACCCTTTGGAAAACTATGTTCTCAAAGATTTCCGATAAAATTTATGAATTTTGCTTAAGTTCATATATTTGAAATGAAGCAATAACAATAAAATAGTCGAAGGTAATATTATTTTCACCCAGATGCTTAAATTATTTAATAAATTAAGGAAATAAATAAGAAATAATCAGATACAATAATAATAAATTTATTATCCTACAATATAAAGAATAAAAAAATAAAATAATCAACGAATAAACACAAAATTTGGAATATTTTTTTCAATTAGTAGCATTTTGGAGCCAACAAGTACAAGAGAATAATTTGTATTGCTGCCAAAATAAGCAGGAAGTAAGTAATTATTTGTGTACTCTGTGTTTGGCGCTGAGCCATGCATTGTTCACTATTTAAGGTTCTGAGGGTCCAAAGGAAGGCTGCTGCAGCACAGTATAAGTAAGATACGTAGAAAAGGGCTCTGTTCCAGGAAAATAGTGAAATAATTGTAAGATAAAATGATATCGATGAAAAGTCTGAAAGAAGGGAGAGAATTGGATATGTTCCTTGTATACCAAAGTTGGAGAAGCATAATTTGCAAATTACTATCTCGAAGAACAAGATGCAGATAAATTTAAGAATACAGATGTATAAGAAGTCCATTGAAAAGCCCTTCTCAGCTCCTTTTATGAGAGATGTGATTAGCATGAAAATAAACGTAAAAACTAATGGTGTGTATAATTCTGGAGCGTTTGGATTATCAATTGGAGAACATGTTTGTCCTTCAGGTACAGAGCGAGACCATTGCTTAACAATAAATGGACATGCTAAATTCTTAATTTTATGAAGAAAAGAAGCTCTTGTAATTGCAAAATAAGGTGGAATTAAGGACTGACTTTGCTGGAATTGTTGAGTAAGCTTATCTGTATTTAATTGTTGAAATTGAGGTGGTAATTGAATTCCACCTGTTAACATTTGGGCATATTTAAAAACTTCTGGTGACATGAATGGATTTCCACTTTGTGGTTGCGGCTGTTGCTGTTGAGGATCTTGTGGATCACCACTTCCTTGATAATATCCGCCTGAAAGCATTTTTTAATTCGTTTCGATTTTTTTTCTTTTCTGGCGGTGTCAAAATAGCAAAATTATTTTATTTGATGCTATTTTTCTGATTAATCAATTGGTTACAAAATTTTTAATTTTGCTAAAAGTTACATGCACGAAAAGTAACACCCTCTTCTTTTTTCCTAGGGTTACTGATCGCTTCCTTTCTGCTCGTCATGCCAGAAATGAAAGAAATGATTGGTGTAGAATAATTTATTACTACAATTGGCAACTATCTCGTAATAATGGATCTACTCCACTCATATAGTTTCTAAAAGTTTTTTCAAAAAAAAGCAATTGCCACTACTCTTTTTTACCACAATTCAATTTTTTTTACAAAATAAAAAATTCGAGGTGAAAATAATTTAGGAAATATTATAGCACATATAAAAATTTCAAAGATTCAAACAAAATTGAGAGCACGCTATGATTCAAATTGAGCAACTATGATTCAGCTCAACCACCTATAAAATAAAGAAATTTACAGTCTCAGTATGCTCCAGTTTTAAGGAAACAAATACTTATATTATATATAGGGAAAAAATATTAACTTTATCTTTTGTAACAATGATTGAGAGATAATAACCAAATACATCAACAAATTATTTTCTTGCAATTGATAATAAATATTCTCTTACTGCTCCTTTCGAACAATCAAGTGCTGTTTTTCCTTCATTATTCTTTGCTTCTTTATTAGCTCCAACTGAGATAAGATATTGAACAACTTCAAGATAACCTTCTTCTGATGCCAAAATGAGTGGAGTACATCCATCATTATCCTTTGCTTCTTTATTAGCTCCAACTGAGATAAGATATTTAACAACTTCAAAATGACCATAACATGATGCAAAAATGAGTGGAGTATCTCCAGAATTATCCTTTGCTTCTTTATTAGCTCCAACTGAGATAAGATATTTAACAACGTCAAGTTGACCATTAGCTGATGCTTTAATGAGTGGAGTAGATCCAGAATTATCCTTTGCTTCTTTATTAGCTCCAACTGAGATAAGATATTTAACAACGTCAAGTTTACCACCTATTGATGCAAGAATGAGTGGAGTAAATCCTTTACTACCCTTTGCTTCTTTATTAGCTCCAACTGAGATAAGATATTGAATAATTTCAAGATAACCATAAATTGATGCCCAGAATAGAGCTGTACCACCATTTTTACTGTTGAAATCTTTGTCACAGCCACATTCAATGAGAGATTTAACAAGTCTCAGATTTCCTTGTAAAGATGCAAAATGAAGTATATTTCTACCATAATCATCATCTTGTTTTTTCCAAAGTTCTTCTTCACATGCTTTTTGCATCATTTTTTGATTTCCTTTTTCTGAAATTTCTTTAAAAAATTTGTAGATTTGATTGAAATCTTTGGAATTTTTAAGTTCCGAAATTTTCGAAAGAAATTCTTTTGGTAAATCGTTTCCTTCTTTCGCTTTGAGTTGAGAGTGAAGAGTTTGCATCTCTTTCTCAACGTTTTCTTTTTCTTTTTGGATCCGAATTAAATCTGCTTGAAGTTTTTCGATTTTATGTGCTGTAATGGATTGATCCTTTTGCAATTGTTCTAAAAAGACAATAATTCCTTCGAAAACTCGCATCTTCATGTACTTTTGAACTGATTTAAGTGTTGAAACGGCATCTTGTAGGTTGTTTATTGAAACATTTGCATTTCGAGTGCAGGCATACAATTCACGTGCTGAAATGACAGAATGAGATTGCGCAAGAAGAGAATTGAACTCGTCAGGTGTTAAATTCGCGAATTTCATGATTGATTCGATATCTTCTACTTCGAATGTGCTAAAGAGATTATCCGCTTCAATATAATCTTTGATATGTGAGCCAATATATTCGTAGTTCAGAACAATTCCCTGACTCATTAAAATTTGTAAAGTGGTAAATTTATGGAATCCACATAATGATAATTATGAATATTCATTTATTTCCGATTACATTTTTATATGACTTGTCCGCAAAACATTCAATACACTGAGAATAAATTACATGGCATTTGTCGTCAAATGCCATGTAAAACTCTCAAAAGCTGAGCCCCTTATTGCTGGGTGAAATCACCCATGTTACAATGTATATTGACTATAAGAAAGGCTACGATTATCTGAAATTGATGCTTTTCCTACAATCAATTTTGAAGATATTTTATAAATATACCCAGATTTTCCTTACTTTTACCACTCCCCATGTAATTTCTGGGGAAAACGATAATTCATTTTTTTTATGGATGAATAGATCGTTTTCCTAGAAAGGACCTCATATCTCTGGCTAAAAGAGTGTCAGATCCTAAATAGATTATTGATCTAGTGTACAAATCCAATAAAAAGCC